ACCTCGCCAGCATTCGTGCACCCGCAGGTCCGCTTCGCTCTCCCACGACGTCGTGCTCACACTGTGCTTGGCCGGCTGAGCTCAGTAGTGACGTCGCTCGCACCTCGCCATCGTCGGCCATGGCGCCCGCGCCGCGTTTCGGCCGCCATGGAAGGCACCTTCCTCCTCTTCTCCAACCCTCGCCTTAGCTACCTTCCCCGCCGCCATCTTCTCGCGAACCTCATGCTACTGCTAACTCGCCCTGTCACGGCCGGCAATGGCCGCTGGCCGGCCTAAATGCCGAGCCGCCGCCGCCATGACGTCATAGCCACGGCGTGGCTTCCGCCGCCACCAAGCTGTGCCGAAGGCGTGGGCGACGATCTGCCGGGCCGTCTCCCCCTTTCCATTCGCTTGGGCCGCTTGTGCCAAATGTGGCAGTGGGCCGAGTGCTTCCAGCGGGCTGGCCCAGTAGCGATTGAATGATTTGTTTTCCATTTTTTCTTTATTATTTGAAAATAGAAAGGGTTTGAAAAATGTTTGGATACTCAAAGTTGCTCCAAATCTGTTGAAATAAATTTGTCTAGGTTCCTTATCATCAGATTTACTTGGGAGAATTATTGCATGTCATTTTTGAGATACTTTGCTGTAGAATTTTATTTAATCATGTATATTGCTGATAACTTGAAAAATAGGTAGAAAAATCTATAGGCTTCAGAAAAATATGATTTCTAAGTTTGTTAATCTTCTTATGTAATGTACTTCCTAGGAAAAATATGTTCCATGCATGTGCTGTGGGAAAATTTTGAGGTGTAGTTCAAGTACCTTTAATGACTGATTTTTGTTATTTTAGTTAGAGAGCAAACTTTGTATAAAACATGCATGTGGTAATTTTTGTATAGTAGTTGTATGCTAGGAAGAACATAGGAAAAATACTAACTCTGTTATTTGACACTTTTCACAGTACAAAGTATTTTCATGTTCATAATCATGCCATAGCTTGTTATTTTTGTGTAGGCTAATTCACTCATTCAAATACCATGAAAATCTGATAGTAAACTACTTAGGGTAGTACTATGCTGTAGTAATTTTCTAAGATTTTTCTAAGTAATAAAAATAGATATTGCTATTCAAACCTATTATTAATTAGGGTTTAATTAAGTGTTGCTTTTTGTGGGATGAAGAAATTAGTGAAGCTTTGGTGTATCTTTGAAGCATTTAATAAAATGTGTTGACTTAACATATTAGTAGTAGAAGAGAATGCAGTAGATAACATGTGCTTGTAGTATATTTTCTTGGATGATGTTGACTACCTTGCATTCAAACATATCCATTGTATTCATCCCATCCTATGCACCGATTGCATAAGCATTTACGCACATTGCATCATACAGGATCGCAAACCGAGAACCCAGTCGTCATACCCGAGGAGCACGAGGAGCAGTTCGAGGTGCAGCCGCAGGAAGTGCCCGAAGCCGACGAGGAGGACATTGAGGAACTTCCGGAGTGCCCCGATCACCGTCCGAGCTCCTTCGAGAGAGGCAAGCCCCAAAGCATTTTTCTCCCGGTTTACAATTATTTAATTAAATGCTTTACTTTAATTGATGCATTACGTTCAGGAGTTGTTTGCAACCGTTGCTGCATTATACCTTGTCTACCTTTGTTATACTATATCCTTGTTACCCGGGTATCCGCAGTCGAGTCAATGCTTAGCTGGCTTAGACCGGTAGAAGACGGGTGATTTCCTGTCACCTGCGAGCTATAGGTGGTTACCTGGATCTGCTTGGATGACTATGAAGTCATGGTATAACTAAGTGTTAAATGAAGTTGAGACCGGACGGAGACTTGCAGAGTTTTGGGCTGTAGTGTTTCCGTCTGTGTCGATTAAGGACCGACCGTTGTTGGGCCTCGAGTCATGTTGAACGCATGCCTTACATTTAGCTGGCCGGATAAAGTACCTTCCGACCGCGAAGCTGGGAGATTATTCGGGCCGAGTAGATTGCCCGCAGCGCACTGTGCCGGAGCAGGTGTGGTAGGACACGGGGGCGGGATGATAAGACCAAAGTGCAGTCGGTCGGCCCCCGGGTACATGTGGTTCCTGGCAAACTCGAGATACCTGGATAGTTGACTCGGTGATCAATATCTCACTTTAGCGGGTGAGTGAGGTTTGTGTAAGGAATAAATCACCAGCTGGTTAGGAATCGATTCGAATCGCCATCGCTCCTGGATAGTGAGCACTTGACTTGAGTTACTTCATCGTAGTAAATGTTTATGGAACACTTGGACAGTTATAATGAATATGACATTATGGAAGTTGTTTAATGATCATTGGTTATCATTATCTGCTTAATCATGTTTGCTCTAGTATAGGTGCAAATTTAGTCGACAGGTTAATAATAATTAAATTGACAATAATGGTTTTAGGAAGGTTCTTGAAGTGCTAAAAATGCTTCTTTTGTAAATGAGTCAGCTACCCTACTATAAAGCCCTTCATAATCCTTGGTGTCATTTATTTTCGGTTATGTTGGGTAAGTCTAGCTGAGTACCTTCTCGTACTCAGGGTTTTATTCCCACTTGTTGCAGATGTGCAGATGTATTACGGCTACTGTATCAACTGCCTTTATCCTGCGATGGGTGATGCTTAGGACTATGGGCATGGTCATTACTTACGTCTCGTCTAATGCTTTTGTTGAAGATGATCATTCGCTGGCACTATATTTGAACTCCGCGTGAGTGTGTGTGGTTTGAACAAATGGCTTCCGCTACTTTTATTCGAACTTGTTTTGAAATAAATATGTTGAAACTCTGATGTATCTGAGATTACGAACTTTTATGTAATATGTGACGGTGACCGCTAAACTTATTACGATCTTGGCTGGAATGAAAGTTGGTTTGAAATCCTTCGTGATTTCACGGACTACCGGGTTATACGGGCTAAAGTTTGCTAAATCGTCTGCTCTGGCGGATGATTTTCTTACTTAATTTTGTATAATTGGTCGGTTCTGTTACAGACGCCAGCGGTGTTCACTACCACTAATGGGAATGTGGTCCTGATCTTCCATCATGTGGAGGTAATTATCGATTTGGTGGAGATGCGACATGCCGATCCGGCTTCAGATCACAAGACCCGAATCTTGCAACCTTAGCACCACGTCACCTCTGGTTATCAACCATATCACTACCCAATTGACCTCACTGAAAGGGCTAATCCCTATTACAAATCGAAAAACACAAGCAATACTTGAAAAGAACGCAATCTGATTCAAAGTGATAATTGTGGTTGTTTGATTAAGTACTCAAAGTGGGGGTCTCAAAAACCTATAAACAATGATTGCTCACAGATAGATTGATCTAAAGTAAAACTCAAACTCTAACTTGGGTGAAGGCTACTGAATATATAGTCTAAGGGACGGCCAAGGACCCCTACTTGTGTCACTAAGGAGTACCGGCACGTTATAAGGCCCAACAGCCCAAAAGATGACGACGCAACATCCAGACAAATTTTAGACGTCCATTTATTTGAATGATTTCCATTGATTCTAAAGACTTTTGACATAGGACTGGTATTGGAAAACTTATCTTCTTATATTTAAGTGCATAGGTAGAACTTCCAAAATGAAGTCCGTATGCGAACTGGGCAGTCCTCAATCTTGGTCTGTACCCCCTCTAATGTGGTGTCGAATGAGCAAAACCACACAGGGTGCAAAAGTGGATGATTTTCAAAAGTTAAGGTTAAAAAAACTAGTTTTATAAATAAGAAGGAAAATCGGACGATCGTAATAGTTGAGGGAGGTAAATTTGACTTTTTTGTGTTGAGCAGCCATAAGCCTTTTGGTGGATAATTTTTGAAAATTTTAATGAATTTTTAGATATTTTTATAAAAATATTTCTAGCCTGATTTACCTCCTTGAACTTTCAACATAATCCGATTTTTACCCCTCTGACATGGTGCCATACGAGCAAAACCAATATCCAAACCGCTCAGGGTGCAAAAGTGAACTATTTTCAAAAGTTAAGAGAGGTTAAAAAAACTAGTTTTATAAATTAGAGACGAAAATTATATGACCGCAATAGTCGAGGAATGTAAATTGGACTTTTTCGTTTTGAGCATAAGTCTTTTGGTGGGCCCTGGACCAGGGCAAAAGGGGTGACTGTCGGGAGGCTATGGAAACTTGAACAACACATGGACCTGGACTAGCAGCCACAAATACACAAGGTAATGAAGGCCCAGGACCGGAGAATTCTACTCAATCCGGTGAATATGACGAATGCGGAGCAAATTCGGCAAAGGTACGGTCATGGCAACGGGGTTTAATCAAATGGCGCGTAGTCTATTACAAGTGCCTTTTGATTGCATATATGAAAATCTTTTTCCTCCTCATCATACTAGAAAGTTATTATCAAGCTGCTGCTAGCGCCTAGATGCTTAGCTATCGCGTTCAACTTTAGTTGGTGTTGTTGGCCTACTCACTCCATCTCAAAATAAAAGGGCTCTGAGATTTTTTTAAGAACAAATTGAGGAATTGAAATAACTGTGATGACCCTAAATCAAGCAACTTTGTCATGTTTTAGTTGTTTATAATAATCTTAAATTTTTAAACAATGCACAAAAGAAAAGAATTCAAAGAAGAGGAAACCCAAACTGTAGCGGATTCAATTCCGAGAACCCAGCAACCCGCCAAGAGCTCTGCCGGCTACTTCTTTGAATCAGCCTTGGACAGATTTTTGCTTCTTGTCAATTGCCATCGCTTGCAACCAAAGCCACAATTAGTTTTGAACCGAAACCCACAAGCAACTATGACATGAACATTCAGAAAACGAGGTACCATAAATTTGCACGCAACAAAACTCGCAGATCAAAGCTACGGCGAAAGTACAATCCGGCAATCTTTCATCATGTTGCCATCGCGGTACAGAGACGAAGGAGTATACAAGAAAACATTCCAAACCGAGGGCAACATTAGAGGACCACAAGAACACCGAGATCGATCGACACAGAGAGGTTATTGGGAAGGGAAGGGATGATGCTTGCCATTGCCAAGAGCTCCATGGAGTTAGTTCTTGTCCTCTGTGCGGTGGCGACCATGCTGGGTTACCACCTTCTCCTCCTATACCGGATCTTCTGGCGCCCGCACGCCACCATGATCGGCTACGAGAACCACAACAAGCTCGCTTGGGTCGAACGCGTGGCGCGGGCGACGACGGCGCCAGAGGAGGCCGCGCTGGCGCTGAGCGTGATCTCCGACGGCATCTCGGCGTCGACCACGCTGGCGTCGCTGTGCATCGCGCTGGCCTCGCTCATCGGCGCGTGGGTGAGCAGCAGCGCGTCCCCGGCGCTCACGTCCGGCGGCGGCGAGGCGGCGGCGACGGCGACGGCAAAGTACGCCTCGCTCCTGGCCTGCTTCCTCGCGTCCTTCACATGCTTCGTCCAGTCCGCCGGGTGCTACGTGCACGCAAGCTTCCTGATCAGCGCACTGGGCTCCGACGCGCCGGTGAGCCACGTGCAGAGCGCGGTGCTCCGGGGCGGTGGCTTCTGGGCCACGGGGCTCCGGGCGCTCTACCTCGCCACGGCCCTTCTCGTGTGGGTCGCCTTCGGGGCGGCTGCCATGGTCGCCTGCTCCGTGCTCACCGTCGCCGTGCTCTACCTGCTGGACAGCAATTCCGTGCCAGTGCACCGCCACCAGTTCATGCTCCGAAGTAAAGGGCTGTCCGTGACGACGGCGAGACCGATCGTCGTCGCAAGAGGAGATGCATCGTGAATTCGCTATGATGAATTGAGAAGTTTGTCATGATCTCAGAACTTCTTGTATTATATAGCAGAAAACGTGTGAAGTACAACGAGATTACCCAATTGCAAGAGGATTCCTCCGTGTCCGGTCACAGATATATTTTCGCAACAATGTTTGCTCCACCTTTAAAAATTCTACATTAATTTCACAAGAATTAGTTCATTTTCGTAGGAAAAACACAGGAAACAAGAATTTTCCCACGATCCAAAGGGGCCTTAACAAAGTTTGACTAATATAAGGATTTTTAAATTATTCAGCTTGCAAATATCAAGAGCATATGTGTAGATTACTAGATTTATGTTCTTAAAACAGAGATGCAGAGCAGGCCTAAGCACAAGATAGTACTAGTGTATTTACTTGTGATCCGGACAAGCTCAAATAAGTGTGCGTAGGAACTTTCCGCTGAATACCCAGCATCACGACATAAGGCATGCCAAGCAAGATTGCTTACATTATGGTAGGTTGGTCATGAAAAACCCGTTACAATGTGATGATGCACTTGTCCAATTGTACAGCATCATTATAAATCAGCTATACTGCCTACTGCATTCAATGGCCAACTGATTCCTGAAAGTATTTACCTTCCAACATCTGGTACACGATCTTAAACATCGTCTCAATATCTGTTATGACTGACCACTTGATACTACAACAACCGACTAAAAGGTAATAGAGAACTTGGTGGCCAAAGAATCAGTCACAATATCTATCAATTAAGTAAGATTGAGTTAGCCAAAAGGTTACACAGCTAGCAACAAGAATGGTTTGCATATACAAATCTGCTTTTGGACGGATAAAGGTACACAAAATCAAGATTAGCTTAACTACCATGAACAGCAAATACAAACATGTGTATATGCCTGAACATGTCAATAAATAGCCTGGTGCAGAACATAAACCTTCAATCCAAATTTTGTACATCTGAGAGAATTACATGATATAACCCTCTAAAACACTTGCTGCCTACCAATGACAGATGGGCATTTACCGAGTGGAACATAACCCCTCGTGACATAAAAGAAAAAGATTGAGAGAATTCCTTATTTGACACTGGGAAAATGAGTCGTTCCTTTTTTGGCCCTGAAATTTTCTTCGTTCCCTATTTGACACTCACTTCAACTTTCATCCCTAATTTGACACTACCGTCAAATCCGTTAGCTAACGGTGTTAACTGGCTGTTAAAAAGACGTTTTTGCCCCTAGAAAAAAAAGCGGCGAAGCAAATTTGAGAGGAAAAAAAACCTGTGCCCGCCTCTGATGCATGCGCCTAGCTGCAAAAAAAGGTGCAGGTTTTTTTCCTCTCAAATTTGCTTCGCCGCTTTTTTTTCTAGGGGCAAAAACGTCTTTTTAACAGCCAGTTAACACCGTTAGCTAACGGATTTGACGATAGTGTCAAATTAGGGATGAAAGTTGAAGTGAGTGTCAAATAGGGAACGAAGAAAATTTCAGGGCCAAGAAAGGAACGACTCATTTTCCCAGTGTCAAATAAGGAATTCTCTCAAAGATAAACTCTTTGCTCCCGGTAAGAAAAACATCAGTAGCTCCAATTACAACACTTTTAGCAAGGTATGTTACGCAGTGAGGTGTGGGGAGGATTCTAATGTCAATTAGTGTGGAACAGTAGTGCATATGAACCATACAAGGAAACCATGAATACCAATGACACCGTGAAAAGTTAGTTTTTGCCCAACTTGGAATCAAATTCTTAACCTCTAAATCATTTCTCTGGAGTACCAACATAATCTCATAACCACCAGGTTAGGTAGCACAAGAGAGTCATATTTTCAGTTATCAATCATATGATCAGGTGAGTATATGGTTCCTTTTCATGGTCATAAGTGATTTAGGATGAACAGCACCCTGACTTCTTCACAGCAGAGACATCATCCTTGCCACCAACATTGATGGTTTGCCCTCTTGGTGGAGCAGCAGGGTCATCGCCAATGTCAAGGGCCTTCTTGCTGACCACACGATAGATCTGAGTTAGGACCTCGGTGAAAGCGCTCTCGACATTCATGGACTCCAGTGCGGATGTTTCCATGAAGAAGGTGCTTTCCCTCTCGGCGAAGCCCTTGGCATCCTCCACGGACACGGCTCTAAGGTGTCGCAGATCAGCTTTGTTGCCAACAAGCATGATGACAATGTTTGCATCAGTGTGATCCCGGAGCTCCTTTAACCACCTCTCCACATTCTCAAAGGTCACATGGCGTGTCACATCGTACACGACTAGTGCGCCAACAGCCCCTCTATAGTACGCACTTGTAATTGCTCGATACCTACAAAGGGAGGATGATATATGACAAACTCAAGCTCCATCCAAAGAAAAATTGGTAGCGAAATTAGGCAATAAATAATACAGCTGAGCAGACCAAACAAGACAAGTCATATTGGAGACAGTTACAGAGAACGTAATTTGATAAAATGCCAAGAAAATCAGCATTATATTCTTAGGGAAATGGTAAATGAAAATCAAACAAATGTTACCCTACATTCCACATCAGGTGCAACTATTTGGCTGGAAGCATCATAAGAAAAACAAAGATGGAACTACACAAACAATAGGAAACAATCCTAGAATATCTTCAGTTTTACAGAACCACTGCAGAATTTACATTTTGCAGGAGAGCTGGCGAAGTGCCACCATAATAGGTTAATTTAGAGACAGACTACCGAATAAGAGGTGCCTGCCTAATTGCCTATTGCCATCACCTACAGAGGTTGCAACAGAACAGTTTTTTTTAATGCAGCCAGGAGGGTAGTACAAAATGTAGAATCACCCAACATATAACCAGATATGACAATGACAGGACATCACTAAGCCATGATGACACGGAATCTTTGTGGACAACGATGGTAGGAATTAATAAATTGGAATAACTATGAGGACATTAGTATTGTCTATTGTGGTTGCAATTTGCAAGGCTGTTTCTTCATAGAACCAGAGAATGCCTCATGAATGAATACTATTTGAAGATCAATGTAAATCTAGGACTGCATATAGGAGGACAACAAGGCGCGGCCGATTGCAATTTGCACAAGAAAGGTGACCATTTTCCTCCTCGTGTGTCCTGCGCGGTCCTAACTAAGACAACGTTGCATTGCATTGGATAGATGGATGAGTACTAATTAATTTCGATCCAACACGATGATGCCTAGCATAGCAGACCAAGAAACTAAATAAATAAATCGAGGAAAAAAAAGAAGGGGAAGAGAATGACTGAGTACCTCTCCTGGCCTGCGGTGTCCCAGATCTGGGCCTTGACGACCTTGTCGTCGACCCTGATGCTCCTGGTGGCAAACTCGACCCCGATGGTGGACTTGGACTCGAGGCTGAACTCGTTGCGCGTGAACCTGGAGAGCAGGTTGGATTTGCCGACGCCGGAGTCGCCGATGAGAACGACCTTGAAGAGGTAGTCGTAGTCGTCCTCCGCCCTGTACGCCATCGCTGCTGAGCCCCGGCAGGCAGAGGCAGGCACTTGCCTTTCCTTCCTTCCTGAACCGCGGTTCCTGGGGCAGGAGGACGGGCAGGTGAGGCCCGCAGCGCTTCTCGGGGGAGGATGGCGAGGTGTAGGACGGGAGGCGGACGCGAGGCGTGTGGGTGGCGCGTATAAGAAACAAGAGGAGGAAGCGGAGGTGGGGAGAACGTTGAGGCCACGAGGGCAAGCGGGCTGCGGCCTGTGGGCGGGCGGACGCGCCGCGCTGGCTGCCTCGCTGGCCGCCTGTGTCAGCTTGCCGTTCGGCCTCGGTGTCATCTCATCTGGCATCTGCAATGAGGCCGGCCCAGGGACAGGCGTCCACCCCGGCTGAGGGTAACCATCACATGGCACTATGGCAGGCATGCCTTGACATGATGATGATGCCCAGGAGCGATTAATCATCCAGATGAATGCAACAAAAATGTTGGGGACTATGTAGTGTAGTAGTAGAAACCAACAAAAATGTTGGGAACTACTCCTACCCTGCGTATGGAATTTTGCTTGTTCATTCAAGTCCATGAACCAATATGCAAACAGTAAACACAACTTATGCTCTAGAGTTTTTTTATTGTCTCAACCTTCGAATATAAGTTGTAGTATCTGAACTCACGACTTGACTCACACCACACGCACAAACTACACTTACAACCTATATCTAAATCTTAAAGAACACGGCTCATAGATATGATAGTTGTGGCCCATCCGTGCGAGGCATCTGACATTCTGAAAATATTGAGGAAAAACCCCGGTAGGAAACATGAGTCGAGCCCAGCCAATACACAACATAATATAATAATCCATCGTCATGGCGTGCATGCACATTCATGTTTAGTGGCTAAACATGTCACGATAGAGTCACTAAAGTCTTAAATTAGGCGTTGAAACGTTAATAGTTCTAGCTTAATAAGGGGCGAAGCTAGGGATGCATTTTTAATTTACGTTTGATTCTATGAACAATGTGTGTTTTTATTTTAAATTTAGATATTTAGCATTAACATTTGTCTAAGATGCTAAATTAAAGATGATATATAGTTTTTAAGCCAACATCAAGGTCACTAATATTTTAGGTTGACATTAACATCCTGTAGTGGTACCTACCCAACTTTTGCCGCTACTTATATATTTTTTATTTAATTTATTTAAAATGTGCATGTGCATACATGAAAGCCTCGCCCTGTTCTGCAGCACTACTACTTTAGCCGTACTTTTCAAAGCAAACGAACAATATTTTTCTCTCACAACAAATCAGCATAAACATCATCATAAGCCAAATTTCAGTGAAACGAATATGAAGCGTTTGGTTTGAAAAATCAACACACTCTAGATGAGGTACGCATCGTGAACCCATTCTCAAATTTAGTGGAATGACTTCATTCCTCACACTCAATACTAAAATAATTACTTTGTGAGAATTAATGTGATGATGGTTCAACTCATTCCATTATTATACAAACCAAACAAAAAATTAAAGAGTGAGATAGTGGTGGTTTACCTTTTTTCCACAAACCAAACACCCTCTAAATTTTGTTGTGCCATTTTTTTTAGTACCTACATTTACAGATTTACTATTTTTGTTCTCCTACTACAGTATATGATAAAGCAGCTGATTGCCGAAAGATGATGTATCCGCAGTATGCCTGAAGCTGATTGCTCTCTATGAAATTGCGAAACAGTTGTGGTTAGGCGCTCATCTTCAGAACTTTAGATGGCAGTATCACAAATTCACAAGCATAAATGTTTAGTAGCAAATTTAAGAGTAACACGAGAACCTCACCTGCATGGCTACATAACTGAAGAATAGCAAACTGTTCATACAACAATTATCGGCATAACAGTTGTTATACTGAATCCACTTTGTATGATTGCATCCTAGTTTTGCGGTACTTGAAGAAAAAAGCAGATTACAAAGAGCAGAAAACTTCTGTAGCCCTCCACGTGCCTTTCAGTTTCAGCAGACGAAAGGACTGATTAAAAAAAAGGAAAAGCGATAAGAAAGCTAAAATCAATCACTTCTCTGATTATTACTCTAGGGGCAAATTAATTATCAGCAACACTGAAAATGAAAATGGTGGCACCACGAGCTAGAAAGGTTTGGAATTCTCTGAATGTTAAAAAAGAGCATTCAGAGTTTCAGAACATTCAGAGCTCTGAACTTAAAAGTTAAAACAGAACTCTGAACGTTTCTGAATGCTTCACAATGTCGTGTATACAGCATAGGATCGGCAAGCGCAAACAAAGGGTGACTACCACGCACCAACACTACCATGTCGTGTATACGCAATGGAATAATATAAGCAGTGTTGACAGTACCTCTCTTCCATGCCAGTGGACGCACTCTTTGTGAAGGCCTCTGTCCATTAGCTAGCCGTAGCAGCAAATGTAGGATAGTCACAGGTACTGCAGAAATAGATCGACACAAAGAAATTTACGGGGGAAGTCTTTAATAGCGATTGAGTTGACTATCTCATAAGTTGATCCATAGCTCTATGGGGCTGCAGTCCTTTCATTCGGAGAGATTTCAGATCTTTTACATTCTGCATCACTGGACACGCAGTATACACTCCAAAAGGGAATTACTAAGGCCCATCCTGTAGCCTATATAATGTGGGGTCTAGGTCAGCCCTATCAACATTTTCCTTGTCTCTTGTGAATGATGCTTGCAAAATTGTTGAATCTGCCATAAAATATTGTCTGAGTAATTACATACAGCAAATGACAGTAAAGTTGATTGGAGCCTCCGACTCTAAACAAACATACCAAGAGTAGGTTTGGCCAGTACAGATGATCCAGCATTTGCTCCCTGAAGTTTTTCTGTTTCAGCCTTCCCCTTTGCTTGGTATTCATGTTGCTTTCTATTCCTTTCTTCCCTCTGTTCCTCAGTCATTTCAGCACCCACCGATCCTTGTCCCATTGCCTTTTACGTTCAAGGGCAGCAGTTTTGGCTGAGGTTACAACACTGTTGCTCATGGATCCAGCTATACGCAAACATGTTATGAAAATTGCATAATGACAGTCATATATTATTATTTTTGGAAGAAAGATTACAAATATTGATGGTCATCAGGTTTGTTGCATTATAATTTATAAGGAGTTGTATTGGATGGCTCGGATGTCCTAGTGTTCTCAAGGCACTGTTTACTTGCTTGAGCCCACATCCTAGTATGGTATTCACGCTGTTTTCTGTTCTATCCACCCCTTTTACACTGTGCCTCATTAGAAAGTGTTGTTTGTGGTCCTGTGGCCAATGTTTTTCTGAAACAACTATTAGATTGAAGTGTGGTGCATAGTATATGATAGATAAATAATACATATGAACGAAGTTCAGACCAATATATGCGTCAAACTTACTTGCGATGTTCCTGTTGTTGGATATATCTCTAAATGAAGTGCAACCTCCACCTGGCATGGTCATATTAATTGAAATTTGTTAACTTGTACATAAGCAGCACAATGAAGGAAGAAAAGTTCAGAAAGTGTTAAGGGCACAGCAATACATGGGTCTCGCCAAATAAATAAAAATTAACATTAAAGATTTCAAATCCAAAATGTGTAAGAGCACTGTGTACATGAAATTTGTCAATGAAAAAAATGTCATAATATAACAATCTCCTAATTTGTGAACAAATCTGTATACTACTTCTAATTTCTCAATGAATAAAATGATGCAGCCAAATGATTTTCAGATCATGGATAGACACTTTCTGCAATATGTTCCAACATCCAGCACAGATGAAGATTGCAACTATAATGGAGTGACATGATATTATGATGAAAAGGTACGGTAGAAATTTTGACAAATGTTGTAAAATCCTATCAGTATCACTTGGAAATTTCAGGTCTATTGACATACCTAGAAACATAGCTACTGATATTGTAGTTGTATGGTTGATTACGGATAGCTATTGATATAAGAAACTCACTGTAGCATGCAGAATTGGAGAGTGATCTTAATTTCACCCCTTACAGACAGCTGGTGACATTTAATAAAAACTTCAACTTAATAATAGGCTACTCATAAATTAAATGATGATGAAGCTACAAGCAAACATTGATCTGAGCAAAGAATTCTGCAGTTAAGAAACAACTTAATTTCCTCATCTTTCTGCTCACATGTATTCCTTGATGCATTAATTTGGGGAAGGAATTTTACAGTTAAACCAGACATGTTCATTCATGTGTTCAGGGATACTAAACGACCAAACAATCAGAATGACAACCAAAGTTGGCCAAGCACACACGTCAATGTTCGCTGCAGGGAGGAATGTATGTGTAGTGCCTACCAAGAGCTGCAAGGGGCAGGAGGCCAGGAAGCAATGATTTTTAGATAAAGGATATAAAATCCGGCCTCTAAGGAAGCAATGACGAAGGAAATCAGAAACAAAGTAACTCAATCAATGTCTTTTCCTTCTAGAGGTATGGATCTCAGTACTCACCAATGAACTGAAAGCTATTTAATGTGGCAGATCACCAGGATAATCTCTTTTGAACCAGTAGCAAAGTAGAAGGTCTAGTGGGTAGTGGCTAACAGGGCCAGATCCAGACATCAGGATGCCTACTTTTTTTGGTCCTTAGCCTGTATTGCATAATCATGATTTCGAAGTCCACTGCAGTTCATTCAGAATTTCTTTGCATGAAATATCTAGTCATAATCACCAGTAATCACCGCATGAACAAGAACCATCTCTAAAATGGTGAAACCGGTTGGAATCCCGCAATATGATCAGTCTGCCTTCAATAGCAGAGATATACTTGAAAGCGGTGTGACAGTCTCTGCATACTCTCAAGTTCTTTATCACCCGGATGGGCCTCCCAGGAGGAATTTTTAGAATACCATAAGCAACAGCAAGCTTCTCGCTATGATACTTTAGCATGTGCTCCTTCTCTTCCTCCTCCACATCATGCAAAACCATATCTGTAGCTGATACATATCCAGCCTTTTTCATCCTGATGTCAAGGTCTTCTAGGAAAGCATATATGTCTTCTCTTTCAGGATGCACAGAATCACCCACTGAGAAAGTGTGGACTTTGTTCTGCACCTCAATCCAACTGAATCCTGGAACCTTCTTCACACCGCGGTCATGCATCATAAGTCTCATCTTGTCCACATCACGCCATTTGCCAGATGATGCATATATATTCGAAAGCAAGACATACATGCCTGCATTTTCAGGTTCCAACTCAAATATTTTCTCAGCTGCATTCCTGCCTAGTTCAGAGTTGCGGTGGATCCTACTGGCACCAAGTAATGCACCCCACATGGTAGAGTCAGGCTCAAAAGGCATGTCCTTCATAAGATTAACTGCTTCATCCAATCGCCCAGCCCGGCCAAGAAGATCTATCATACAAGTGTAGTGTTCAGGTTTTGCTGTCACACCAAAATCCCTGTGCATCAAATAGAAGTATGAAATCCCTTTCTCAACCAAGCCAGAATGACTACATGCTGAAAGTACTCCAACCTGAAAGTTAAATTTACCAAAACATTAGACGATCACAAGGGAACCTAATGTTAGTTTCTCCAGTGAATGTTATCTAAAAAAGGAAAGTCAGTCACCAGATACAAATATAACACATGATTGATTGCCAAGAGGGATCTATAGATAAACATGAAAGTGTCATCAAGTAGATACTGATCCATCAAGCAAAACCAACTACATATATTGTAACTTGTATATCCTATAAACTTAAAAATACAATGTTCCATTCCCAGGAAGGATGTGCTTACCAAAGTAATATCATCTGGCTTGGTAGATGTCTTCCTCATCGCATTAAAAACCTCAAGTGCTTCCTTGCCAAAACCATGTCGTGCATAGCCTGCAATCATAGTATTCCACGAAACAATATCCCTCTCCTCCATCTCTTCAAATGCACTGTGAGCTTCCTCCATGTTCCCGCATTTGAAGTACATAGCTAAGAGTGCATTACCAACAAAGCAGCCCACCCCATAACCAGCCTTAATCAACCTACTATGCAGCTGCATTCCACACTCAAGTGCAGCAATGTCAGCACATGTGCTCAAAACACAAGCAAATGCTGACCTATTCACCCACTCACCACAACGTCCCATCTCTTTGAACAATTGCAGTGTTTCCTCACTGAAGCCACCTTGTGAATATGCAGCCAGCATTGCAGCCCATGAGACTGCATCCTTCTGTGGCATCATGCCAAAAATTGCCCTCGCCTCGTCCAGCATCCCAGCCTGAGCGTACCCCGTCAACATTGTGTTCCACGAAGCCACATTCCTGCAGGGCATAGCATCAAACAACTCCTTTGCCTCCTCCATCATCCTCCGCTGGACATATGCTGCCATCATTGCATTCCACGACACAGCATTCTTCTCTGGCATGGCATCAAACACCCTCTTGGCCTCTTCGAGCATCCCATTTTGTGCGTATCCAGAGACAACAGCTGTCCAGGTGAACACATCTCTAATTGGAGCCACATCAAACAACCTTCTTGCCTCAGCCATACCTCCTCTCCTCGCATAACCAGACACCATAGTATTCCAGGAAACTACATCTCTATGTGGCATTCTATTAAATATTTTCTGAGCTTCTTCTATCTGACTGCACTGCACATATCCAGCCATCAAAGCATTCCAAGAAATGGCATCCCACTCTGTCCTTGAATCAAACATCTCCCTTGCCTCTTGGATCTGTCCGTTCCGGATATAGGCAGCAAGCATGCCATTCCACGAGACAGCATCCTTCTCTGGGGCGAGGTCAAAGTAGTGCCGTGCAAGCGAGACCAGACCATGGTTGGCGTGGGACGAGATCATGACGTTGTAGGATACGGAATCCTTCACAGGCATTTCGTCGAACAGGGCGCGCGCGTCGGCGAGTGATGATGACACCCCCAGTGCGTGCAGGAGCGTATTGTAGGAGAAGGAATCGGGCCGCGGAATGGAGCGGAAGAAGGAGAGCGCCAGCGGGAGGCGTCCGTTGGCGGCGTACCCGGCGAGCATGGCGTTGTAGGTGGAGGTGGAGCGGCGGGGCATCGCGGCGAAGAGGCGCTCGGCGTCTGGAACGCGGCCCGCACGCATGTGCGCCGTGATGGCCTTGTTGCGCCGGATCACCTCCGCATCAGGCTTGCCGTTAATGCAGGCGTCGGCAGGGGCGGCCGGCCGCCTGTGGCTTCGCTGCCGCGCGCGGCGCGGAGATGGCGGGAAGGGAGCATGGGGGTGGTTTTTCGAACTGCGGTTGTGACTTTGTGTGCTTATAATTGCTACTCAAAATTGTGGCAATGTTTGGACGACAACAATGTTGATTTTAAATTTTGTCAAACTGAACAACAAAGATTTGTTCCCTAATCCCTCGACAAACGCATAACCTTTTAAGCACACACTGTCCACTGCTAGGTTTTCAAAACTTCAAACATGAACGAGGGCCGGATATCGAGCCAACTCGGCTCGCTATGGTTCGGCTAGTTATAGTTCAGCTCGTTATGGCTCGTTATACAAATGAGACAGAAGTCTAGCTCAGCTCGGCTCGTTAGCGAGCTCGGGCTAGCTCGTTGGCTCATTTGCTAAAGCACAAAAGCATATTATATAGAAATTATAACTACAAATCAGCAACCAACATATCACATGCATATTTAAAATAAAATAAAACAAAATACATGTGAATTCTACAATGGAAAATATAAATATGCTATCATCCATGTGTTAGGCCATAGATAAAGTGATATATGGGATGATTAAAGTTGTTGGCTTGTTACTTATCTTGGCTTTGTTTTGGCTCACCAGCGGCTCGCGAGCTGGCTCATTAACTAATCGAGCTAAATTGCTGGCTTGGCTTGTTAAAAAATTCAAACGAGTCGAGTCGAGCCGAGCCGAGCCACTAAGGGCGTGTTTGCTACCCTGGCTGAGCGGTTCACTCTAAAAGCCATTATTTTTTGTCACCATCACTGATTACCCTGATCTTTTTTCACTATCAAGACAGATCAAAAGTACGCCAAGTTGCGTAGTTTGCATTGACGGTAACTGCTATCCTTATCTTAATCTTAGTGCATCAAGAAGACAGTTGCGCTCTGCAAAAAGCCTTCTCTCTCGTAGCTCTGGGAACGAATCCCCACTCCGTTTCTCCATGGCCCGGCTTCGGGGAAGCACTCTCGCGTCCGCTCGAGTTACCTCCCGGCCGTCTCCATGTTCTCACCTCCCACAGCCGGTCCGTCCGCACGTCGTGCGCGTTCGCCGCCGATGCCAAGCCCCCGCCACTGCAGCCAAGCTGGTGCGGCGCACGTGCGGTTCACACCACCGCCATGGCCTCCGAAGAAGTTGCTGGCGCACCCGCTTCGTGCGAGATCCGGCGTCCTTCGGTGTGGCTCCTCCATGCGAGATCCGGCGTCCTCCGGTGCGGAGCTCACCTGTGCGGCATTGACCGCCTTGTCGTCTGGCCACCGCGAGCCTTGACGCCACCACCGAACGTGACTCATCCGTAGTCATCACCAGCGGATCGATCGCCTCAATCGACGTCTAGATCCCCGCTCTGCAGCCGGCTGGCGCTCGCGGTCACGGGACTGCGATGCCTCCTCTGGCGCCGCCGCACGGCGAGAATAAGAGCAGCAGCTCCGGTCGGCGTTGTTCCACGGGCGCGGGACCGAGCAGCGGCACCACCAGCCGTAGAAGCAGAGGCCCAAGACACTGCCTGACCTGCTTGCCGGCGTCAGGGCAGCGAGCTTCCATTCCGGGTCCCCACCCCCGGATGCTGGTGACACGGGGAGGAGTCCGAGGAGGACGCCGAGCAAGGTTGTGCTGAGCGTGGCGGTGCAGCAGAGCATGTGGCCGCTGCACGTCATGGCATCCGCCGAGTGGACCGTGGTCGACGTGGTGAGCGCGGCGGAGATGGCTCCCGCGAGGCTCTCCCTGCCGCCGCCGTGGAGCCTTCGAAAGCTGGCCGGGAGCGAAGAGTCGGCCACCGCCGCATCGAGCAGAGCACGCGTGCGTGGTGCCGCCGCCGCCGCCGCCGCGCAGAGCCGGCCGCGCGCGCGTGATTGCTGCAGCCGCCGTGCCGAAGTCGCGCCGCGCCGGCCTCGCGCGTGCATGGTGCCTCCGCCGCCGCGCCAAGATCGCCACTGCACCTGAATCCTCGGCTTGTCCGTCCCAGCGCGCTGGACTGGCATGGGCCCATCACCTGCTCGATGAAATGCCATTGAGAAGTGCTGTGGTGGTAAAGCTACCGCATTCTTATGCAAGGTAGCCTTACTCTCTATGTACAGGCCAAACACGTTCCCGTTTGGACTCGGCTCCGCAGGGCTCGGCAACCAAATATGGTCACTTAGCACCACTTGGACCTGACTCTGGCTGGCCACGGTCAGGCCGGGCAGGACCAAGGTAGCAAACACGCCCTAACGAGCCGAGTCGAGCGAGCTAGCGAGCTATGAGTTTTTCGTCCAGCTCTACGTGAATCGCTTTTAAATATTTATATTAATATGAAGAATATCATATGTGCTTCTTTTTTAAAATCCATAAAAATAACATTTATTGGATATTATAATATTTAGAACAAAAAAAACTATCAAACCAATCTCTGTGAGCCCTTTGGAGCGCATAAATTTCATAAGAGTAATTTCATACAATTTAGTTTTAGCCTAATTAGGTTACATAAATCAAAATTATTTAGGCCATCACATTGAGCACGCCCACGTATTGAACATTTAATACTCATACAATAGCATAGTTCATAATATATCACATTTGTTATATCTTAACTCAACATGCATAGTTCTCTAGTATGTTCTAGACCAAACTACGGCCTTGGAATAGAAGTAGCTACAGACAGACGTTTACTCACCGACAACAACTTAATAGTAGTACCGCAAGTATAATGTTGTACTCCATGGGATTTTTTCAAACAAATAACCAAGGGAGTATGTATTGAGTTTTAAAAAGTAAATGAATAAGGCCTCTGAACAAAAGAACATTTAATACATGGTCAACTCCCAGTAGATCATTGTACCAAGGGTTCGATGCTCTCTCTTTGGCACCAAGGAGCTCCAATGAGTGTAAAAAATCTCCATGGAACTTTTTCTCTCAAAGCTTTTCAAATCGCTGACAAATCCAATAGATCTTCCATAGGATGATCAACAATTTAACTACGAGTTAGCATTTTACAAATATTTTTCACTCTTACTCACCTAAGCACTTGATCCTAATGCACATGTAAAGTTACATCTCACAATTGGCACTAAACAACCATATTTGCAACTTGATTGATCCTCTTAGTAGTACATGTATCTATCCTATCAATTCGATCATGTTCACTTCTCTAATCACCTCATGGTCGGTGAAAGTTAAAGCACTATGCATATATCTTTGCTTTCACTTGTCATTCATCTTTTGCTTCCATCTCTTCACCTTGTTGAGCATTTGCACCACATGGTTCATGCCATCTCTCCTTCATGGCTCTTATGTAGCTCAACTCTTGCTTATGGATTACACTTAACCTTTCATCTTACATGAAACATTAGTCCACAAATGATGTCATTAACTAGTAAAACTCAAACGAGACTTTCACCTAGAAGTGTAAGGCCCAACTGCCAGCAGCGGCAGATCCAACACTAGGGTGCTTGGGGCTTGAGCCCCCTACCACTAGCGTAAGCATGGAGCCCCTCCTAAGCCCCCTCTATAAATTTGTAGTTATTGAAACTTAGGAGAAATGGGGCTAAATATAGAAAATAAGGAGAAGTAGCCCTCCGAGAGGGCAGTCACAGTCACATCCTAGCGTCCGCAAGGAGGCAAACGTGGTGGACACCATGGAGAATTGAAGCATACAGGCTAATAGATGAAACATGAGAGAGGAGGTGGCCCAACCAGGGTGACAGGAGGGACCGTGCGCCACCATGTTAAACCTTGGTAATGTGGATTGGCAATTTAGTAAAAAAGAGTAACCCAATATCATCTTGGGGAGTTCTTTGCTGGAGTTACACTGTAGTGTCATAATACTTGGTTTTATAGATAGAGGGTTAACCGACTACCCACAAAGGTTATTAGGTGTTTATATACTCCCTCTATCCTAAAATATAAGGTATCCTAAAATTTCTAGGACAAATTATGTGGTAATGTAAATGACGCATGCAACACTCCCTCAACTATAAAGAGACTTTGTAGTTACCATATTTTAAACCTGGTGATAGATAGTAATGGTAGGTGTCACAGGGTCGAAACCGCGGCAAGCATTGTTGTTCGAGTCGGTGTCAGAGTACGGGTCTCCGGTGGCTCGGGTGGACTCAGGAACACAAGAATCACGCAGAGAAGGCACAACGGTTTATCCTGGTTTGGACCAATTCGGTCCCTACATCCAACAGCTGATGATCCTTATACTCAAGAGCACCCAAAATTAGGAGGGTTACAACAGAGTCTAGAGAGAGATTTGGTAGGGGGTTAACTCTGTGCTAATCCTAAGGTTGCCTCGCCACCGGTGTAGCCTTCCCCCTCGTCGGAGAGGAGGAAGACAATGGGATGCCGAGGAGGAGCTCTCGGTGCCCCTCTCTGGGTTGCCTTGCTCCCTGTGCGGAGCGGAGGCGGATGGAATGGAATGGAGTGTATGGTGATTGATCTAGGATCCTCCCCTCCTAGGTCTGACCTTATCCCTTATATAATGAGATAGGTTGGGTACATGGCGGTTTGGGAGAACTAGTCTACGGTCTACGTGCGTCGGAGTCTAGGATAGTCTTGCAGCGGTGCCCCGTGGTGGTGTCTTGGTGCCAAAGAAGCCTTGGGCGTCATCCGACTGCTCTGTTCTAACACTCTATGTGTTAGGCTATGTCGGCTTGGACCGGCCTCCCCCGGGTGGACCTTCTGGAGTCTTCTTGGTGACGAAGGAGGTCGGCTCCAGGGGCTGACATGCGGGCCCGAAGCCCCCGAGCCCTCAGGAGGCCAGGGAATGCTTTTGTCTTCTTGTGCCATGTCCCGGACATGACCCTGTCGGGGCAGCAGTTGGCAGGGCCACGCCTGAGGAGCGATGCCAGAGAGCCCCCGAGCATCGGTAGCCCGGTCTTGTCTTCTTGCGCCCGGGCCTTGGCTGGCATTGTTAGCCTTGTAGAAGCCAAGGGCTGAGCCTGGATGCACCGTAGATCAGGTGCCTGAGGCTTGGGCGAGCCCCCGAGCCTCAAGCGGCGGTTGTGGCCAAGTCAAGCTTGGTCGGGTCTCTTTGCTAGAGGGTACACGCGAGCATGCCCGATGGGCATAGTGATGAGGACATCAATCCTTCGGATGTACCCACTGATCCTCCAATCGTCATGCAAGGTCCAATGACCCAGGCTCGAATGCATCAACTCAATTTAGAGGTGAGCTTGTTCTTAAGCGATCCTTTTTATACTTTTGAGAATAGACTACTACCTAATGATGTTATCTTGCTTAGGAATATTGGAGAGGGTCATGAAGGACTTAGAGGACGTGGTGGAGGCGAAGATGACCAGCAAGGACGTCCAACAGGAACCGGAGGCCCGGTCCAACATAATTTCGAGTCCGCCTCGGCCTCCAGGACTAGTCTGCCTTAAACTGGTCACCCAGGACGCATCCGGACTCCGTTTTCGACGATCCAAATATGGATGGAAAGATAATTGGATAAGGAAGCCAATCCAAGTGGTCTCACGTCAAAAGCTCTTTGGAATCAATGGGAATCATCGAAACAAGTCAGCATCCAGAATCTGCTAGGGTGTTGCGACACCGTCTTTTGGTCCGTTGGACCGTGTATCGTGTTTGGGCCCATTAGGGGGCGCGTCCAGGGTAGGCGATGACCCTAAGACCTTTATAATCATACGCCGTCGCCGTCATTAGGTTTTGGTTTTTGCTTAGATTATTCTGTCTAGAACAGTTTCGCCGTTCATCGGTTTGTGAGACCCCAACTTTGTGAGATTAAACATTCATCTGCAATTTGGTTGTGTTCTTTCTTGTTCTTGTTTGTGTTCTTCGTTGAGTAGGCAGGGATTAGCCTTCTTGGCGAGGTCAACCTGGTCCGTGACTTGGTTGATAACCAGAGGAGCTGTGGTGCTAAGATTGCAGGGTTCGATCTTTCGATCTGAAGCCGGATCGGTGTGTCATTCTCCGCCACAACGATAGTTATCTCTACCTGACGGAAGATCGGGATCCTTGTCTCCATTACATAGCCCCCGAGCGATCCTGAAGGGGTCGGTTGGGGGGTCTTATTCAGTCAAAAACCATTGGACCCAAGGCTTAACATACCCATATGTTAGGATCTCATCATGAGCCCCTGAGCCCTTCGTGGCCTCACTTGGCGTGATGGCGACGAAGGGCTAAATTCAATCTTTTGGTGACCAAACCCTCCTTGATGGGGACAGCTTCCGTTGACAAGAGTGTCGTGCCCTGCTTGGGGCCTTCTTCTTCATTATGATGGGTGTTGCCTGGCTGTCGAGGCCAAGCGAAGATGGTGTCGATCCCTTCATGAGTCTATGTTGCATGGGTCTTTGACTCAAGCGAGGGCTCAACAAACTCATCTAGGAGTTGCCGACTTTAGGCCTGGGGGCACCCTTCTTTTTGATCGGAGCCTACCATGGGCCGGATGATCAAGAGCGTTGGGCTCTAGCTCAGGGCATGTGATCATCCGAAGCACCACGCCCTTCTAACGGCTGTGGTAGCAGGCCTCAATTCTCTCGAGCCGGCCTTGTGGGGCCAACCTATGGTGGCCATAGATCGGGGAGTGGGCTGAGCCTTGGATGGGGGCCCTCGTTGGGCCCACTGCTCAGTGGCTCCTGACCCAACTTCGGGGATTTGTTTATTTTTTGGGGGATGCGCCACCCGAGCACCCATCGATTGGGGGGGGGTTGGGTTGCTCCACCTGGGGAGCCAACACAGCCCCTAAGGTCACTGTGGGCCCCCTTGCTAGTGGAAGGGGTGGCTTCTAGGCACGTCTAGTCCGCTAATGCCTTGCGCAGGTGGTTGATGGCGTCTAGGCTATCGTGCCTGGTGGAGGAGTTATGGCGTGCACCCCCGTGCCGTCCTGTCTCATCTAGGAGATGGGACATCGGAGCCACGTTGAGCAGATATGGTGGACGAGGAGCCGCTGCGCTTGGTGTGGGCAGATCCAGGCCGTCGATGGTAGCCGATGGGCCTAGGGGGAGCCGAATCCCCCCAAGTCCCGCGAGGAGGCGTGAGTGGGCGG